CCTCCCCCTGCAGAGCCGTTGCCCCCACGGTGCTCGGGCTGCGTAGGGCACCAGACGTCACAAGGAAGGCCCAGGCTAGGTGGCAGGCCATGGGGCGTGGGGTGCTCGGTCCGCTGCAGAACCGAACCCTCGTGTGTGGCAAGCAGGCGGCTGTCCGGACGCAGGGGCCTGCAGGTGAGACAGACACAAGAATAAAGTCCTGCTGCTGGGGATCTGATGGCTCTTCCCCCAGGAGGCCAGGGGGACAGCACAGCGGCTGTCCAGCCTGGAACCCGCTTCTGCTCCTCCGCCCCCATGATCCTGCCCTACAGGAGGCCCACATGCACCTTTCTTAATGACTCCTAACATTCTGTTTGCTTTTGTGACGGCTGCTGCACCCTGAGTGGGATACGTCACCACAACTGAAATTTGGAGAAAACTGAATTTTTGTTTTACTTTTTACAGCGTTTGTACTTTTTTACACCCAAAAATGTCATCGCCTGCCTGCCTACGATTAAGTTGTTTAAACAAATGGGTTGCAATGGTAGAAAAAAAAATGTGTGTATCTGAAAACTGTAGGTATGGGGAGGGGGGGTACTTATAATTTTTTTAAAGGGGTACTTACTTTTTTTTTAAAAGAGGGTACTTTATAAAAAAAGGTTGAGAAAAAAAGCCCTGTGTTCTCTTTAAATTGTTGTGAGAATGCCCAGAGCAATCAGATGAGAAAGGAAGGAAGAACAAACGCATAGAATATGTTTTCCCTGTGTTTCCAGACTCTGGGCAGACCGCATGGTTGGCAATCACAGTGTCACATAGGATAGAATGAGTACTGCAAGAATCCTGAGAACCGATTTGCAAATTCTCAAGTATTTGACTCCCTCTGGAGTTTCCGAATGACCTCTTCAGCCAGTTTCAACTGACTAGTTTTCAAGAGCCTCCACCCCAGTCCTGCTCCATTCCATACAAGGGATGATGGTAAGTCAGGTCTAGCTGTTGCACGTAAACATGAGCCTCTGTCCATACTCTGGTCACGTCACACTGGGAGCTGCTAGATTCGGAACATTTGTAAAAATCTGCTCCTTGTTTAGATGCCGAAACAGGAGTTGAACTCTTTTGAAAAATCTGTTTCCAGTTTTGTGTGCTGAATATTGGACAATCTTGCTCTTAGCTCTGTTGAGTAGTAGGCCTCAGGAATAGAGCCAGGAACAAGACAATGGATTTTAAAAAGCAAAGTTCCACCTTTCCCTTAACTTCCTTTTCCTTGCTCTTAGATTGTGGGCGCCTGGCAGCGAGGACAGTTCTTGAGTATCTGGATAGCACCAGTGCCTCAGTGGGCAGCACAGTTCATAATACTGTCCTAGGTGTTCGATAGCTTCAGAGGGGTAGCCGAATTAAGTCTGTAACAGGAAAAACTTAAAAACCAAGATATAGTCTGGTAGCACTTTAAAGACTAACAATCTACACGTTTCGTTAGTCTTTACCGTGCTATCAGTCTATTTGCTGCTTTCTTATGTGTTTAATGTTACGAATAGCACCCCCTTGATTACATATTAATAAGTAACTTCCTTCATCGCACGGGATCCCAGAGCACTTTTTGTACCAGGAGGGCCGGGCTGTACGGAAATGCAGCCACCTCTAGGGTGCAGTGGGGCTACTGGCTGCAAAAGTGGCTGGTGAGGCGGGTGGG